GCCACCTTTTTGTGGAAAATGCCGCCGCACCGGGCATAAAACAGCTGACTGCTCCAAAAGGGCCAACAGCGTTGAGAAGGCCTCATGCTTTTTCCAACAAAGAGATGGTGCCAAGATAATTAATTCAGAGTCGCAGGCTTCCCTTTGTGTTCCTCATAGTCTGGAGTGGGAAGAAACGCACCCAGCCAAGCTGAAGGAAATATTGATGCCCACGGGCGAAGGTGTACTCGAAGGATATCCTGCAACAGTACTGCGAGATACCGGATGCAATTCAGTCATTGTCAAAAGGTCTCTTGTGGCGGATAGCAAGCTGACTGGAAAGATTTCCTCGATTTACCTCCTGGACGGACGGTTGATGAAGCTGCCTGAAGCACACGTGGAAATTTTTTCACCGTTCTTCAGTGGCAAAACTCGAGCCCTTTGTATGGATACTCCTTTATATGATGTTGTCTTGGGAAACGTGAAAGGCGTTCGAGATGCTCACAATTCTGATAACGATTGGAAGAGCCGTCTTTACACCCAGAACACTGCAGAAGAGTATTCTGGCGCAGAAAAATCCGGTTCTGCACACGGACCCCTGTATGCAAAGACTTCAATATCGGCTGCAAGGAAAACACGTTTCAAGACAAAAGTTGCTGCAGTAAACCGACAGGCAGGAAATCCACATCTACTTCCGGCTCCAGTTATTAACCCCTTAGACATCAGCCCACAGGACTTTAAAACCAAACAGGAGGAAGACAGCAGCCTGCGGAAATGCTTCGAAGCCGTTAACAAAGAGGTCAAGACAAGGTTTGGTAAAATATTGTTCTTCACGAAGGACAGAATCCTCTATCGCAAGTACACCCTTCACTCTAAGAGGCAGGTGAATCAGCTCGTGGTACCAAGGTGCCTCCGACAATTTGTTATAAAAATGGCCCACGAAGGCATCCTTTCGGGCCATCAGGGAATTAAATGAACTACCGACCAGGTACTCGAAGAGTTCTACTGGCCAGGGGTTCAGTCAGACATCACACGATTTGTTAAATCGTGTGATATATGTCAAAGAACTATTCCCAAGCACTTGGTTGGTCGTGTACCTCTTGGCAACACTCCTATAATTGACACCCCTTTCAAGAGAGTAGCCATTGATATAGTGGGTCCATTATCACTGATGTCAGAGGGCGGAAACAAGTACGTACTGACAATGGTGGACATGGCAACGCGTTATCCCGATGCTGTAACACTGCCGAGCATCGAGACGAAGAAAGTCGCTGAGGCACTTCCGGAGATGTTTTCTCGTGTAGGTGTCCCACGGGAGACAATCAGTGACAGAGGCACGTCATTCTCGTCACGCTTAATGAAGGAGCTAAGCCGACTTCTCTCCTTCAAACAATTGCCAACAACCCCATATCATCCCATGGCTAATGGCCTTGTAGAGAGGTTCAACGGCACCCTGAAACAAATGATAACAAGAATGTGTCAGGAGTGTCCGAAGAAATGGGACCGGTATCTGGCACCCTTACTCTTCGCTTATCGCGAAGTTCCCCAGTCGAGCTTAGGCTTCTCCCCGTTCGACTTGCTCTACGGCCGTTATGTCAGAGGTCCCCTGGCGATATTGAAAGAAATATGGGCCGCCGATCATCTTGATGATGATGTAAAAACATCCTACGGGTACGTAGTCGAACTGCGGAATCGTCTTGAAGACATCTGCCGTTTAGCCAAGGAGGAGCTTCAGAAAGCGAAGATTGTACAAAAGAAGCATTATGACCAAAAGGCCAGACCACGTCAATTATCCCCTGGAGACAAGGTTCTGCTTCTGCTTCCATCGGATACCAACAAATTGGTTCTGACGTGGAAGGGACCATTTTATGTCCTTCAGAAGAGAAATAATGTCGATTATTTAATAGATCTCGGTACCAGCAGCACAATATTCCATATCAACCTATTGAAAAAGTATGAGGAACCGCTGCCTGCACCACCGCATCAGCTGTTTGCCGGGTGGATGACACCGAAAGCGACGAGCTACCATGCGTTCGATTCCAACGAAAGGAATACTGCACCCAGTCTCATACGCAAGCCCTATACTGCAACCATGCGAAGCTGCTTACTCTACAGTGGAGCGAGCGGCCCTGCCTTTTACGTGTTCGGTCCGGAAACTTCATATCTTCTTATTCGGACGCACATTCGTTCTACAGAGTGATCACAAACCGCTTGTGTACATCACGTCAGCCAAGCATGTGAACAGCTGTGTGTTACGGTGGAGCCTCATCTTTATGGAAGTGCGTAGATTACGTGGGCCGTTTGCCAACTCTGTGAGCAACGTCTGCATAAAGAATCGATGCTCAGTGGTATTATTAGTTTAAGATGTAAACCTTACAGCGCGATACAAGTATCATGACGCTTTAGTTCTGTGAATTGTTTCTATTTTTTTTTCTGGTTTGTACTTCTGTGACCGAATGTGCCGAGTGTGCGGGGCTCGGAACTGCTATAGTGTGCAGTGGTGCTTACGTGTGTGTTTCCGACTGCGAACCAACGTGTCCCCAGTGCCCTCAAGTTCTTCTACCGGAAGAACTTTCATAAGTGGGGGGTGATGTGATGTAGTACCTTAAAAATGCGAGCATAGCAGACGACAGCACCACATCATTTAGAAGATGAGAAGAATGAAGAGGCATTGCAGCGCGCCCATTGAAAAAAAAGAAGAGACGCTCGCGGAGAACGAAGCCGTTCGGACGCCGGCAAGACAACGCAAGGGAGCCTAGGGCGAACCCGCAACTACGCGCGAGGTTCGAAAGGCCGGGTTCCTGTCCTCGAGCCATTGACGTCCTCGGGGAACGGCGTGTCGGCGTGGCCAAGCACGAGTTCTCGGCGAGTGGTCCTGTGGACATCTCCGGTACGGCGAGCGCCCTCGAAAGACCGGAGCTGCTGACCACGTCCACCAATCCGACGTCGCTGACAGTGTGCGGCTACGCCTAGACCTGGTGATGCCCTCTACAGTGGTATGCTGACCTGGCACCCAATCGATGACAGCATCCGAGCACGCAACGGATCCCACTTCAAGGCACCGGGCTACGGCACAGACTGTGAGACTATTTACTCTTTTCTTTTGTGTGTGAACTGCGTGCGTGTACGACTTATAGTACTGTATGTGCAATAGTTGTTTTTTTGTTCGTCCAATATAACTCCCTTTTGTTTTCCTTACTGTTTCCATCTTCCTCGCGTCACACGCCTTGCTATGTGACGAACCTAACGCACGACACTGACACACCTCAAAGGTCAGCGCGCATTCCCAGCATCGTCCCCAAACACCTGAACTCGTTCGTATACAAGTTCACGCTCGTCAAGCTTGTTCAACTTTCCAGTTACAGTACATTTCGTCCACTATCTTTCTCTTTCAATGGGAACGGGCCGGCCGGTTCGGTGAGTTAATACAGTCAAGAGTGCCGTGACATCACCACAGGCCATTTTCTTTGAGTGTCTGAACGTGTTCCACTGAAGTGGATAATTGATACCCAGAGAGGATACACCGAGAATTGCACCCCAGTATAGCACAGTTATTTTAAGGCGAGTACACATGATGCTGTGTACCCTTGAGCATTTATTTATGCATCTGTGGTAAGAATGGACGTATAGAAAGTGAAACCGAAACTGAAAGTGCAAACCGAGAGTGGGATGATAAAGACGATGCAGCGTGCGCATAGAAGAGGAGAAATGTGGTGCTCGTGTGCTGGTGGACGTCGATGCGCTAGAGGACGCAGCAGCTAGAAAAAGCCATTTGTTCAACCTCAAGGACCAAAAGAACCGAGCTGGTGTACCAGGCCAGCGGGGACGAGCTTGGCATGTCCTGAGGACAAGCAAGTGTCCCAACCTAGCATAGCAACGCTGTTCCTGCCGTTGAACCGGGGGAGATCGTGGTCTCGGAGCCACATACAAGCGGGTTCGTCACAACCTGGAGCTGAGGGCATGGCCTCGGTGCCACGTCAGGCGCAACGTGGCCTGCGTGTTCGGGAACGAGCAGTTCCACATCTGCTCGTGCGTTGACACATGAAGTCATCGTGCATATCGGTAGTACTTCGGATCCTACCACTTCCTGTGTCTGTGGTCAACCTCCTGGTAGTGAGTGACGTCCAACAAACATTTATATCAGGACGCACCGATTCTCCCGCTTGTGTAGGCTAGAAGCATAGGGTTAGAACTCTCGTGATATCTGTAGTGCTTGGCCAATCAGAGTGTTCGTGATTGTATCCAGTCAATAAATCTTTCGTGTCTAAGTCTTGGATGTCAGTGTCTGAGGGCCCCAAACCACAACAGTGCAGTTACTATTCCAAAAGGGTACGTGTCGATTTTCGGTTTTATTTCAGCCGGAACTGAAGAAAGGATGGTGAGAACCAATCTTTGTGTACTCAGTGTTTGTAGACCCTGGAACTGTTTTCAATGACACAACCGAAATGGACAAAGCAAAAGCTGGTAATAACACTGCTGGTAATAACGTCAGCGACACTGCAGTCGGTCATGCGTGCCTCAAGCCCCAAAACGTTTTGCACGCAATGCGGCTTCTGGCATGTGATAACGTGCAATCTGTCGATGACGAAAATTATCAAAAGCTGTCATTGTAAGTTCGTAGGTACTGATGTGGTAAGGATCGTGGAAACATACAAAATTAATTTACTGGTTCTTACGTTTGAGACGATATTTTTCACATCTGTGAAAGAAGCAGTGATAACTGCTAAAGATTCCCGTGTTACTTTCAATGGTGGATGAACATGCGGTTTCGTAACGGTTGAGCGCATTTAAAAGTGAGTATGACCTTTTGCGCATTATTTCTACACACTCAGCCGACCCAAGAAGCACACTGGTTTCACGGGAAGAGTGTATTGTCGGCGCAGCGCACAACCATAATCAAACAACATTAGTGATGTCCGTAGCGCTAGAAGCATGTACCAAGAAAACCGACCGGAAGCAGGCCTGGATAATGCCACGCTCAAAGCATGGTCGCCGAGTGGTAAAGGAAGGCACGTACTCACGTGAAATGATAATGTGTCTCTTAAACGCGCCTAAGAGAAGTCGGGCAAGGCTGGCCCATGCATCGTGAAGCCCTGATGTCTGCGAGGCCGGCTTCACAGAATTCGGCAAATTTCACGGGCACTCAAGTTCTCGCGCTCATAGCAGAGTGTTAAACTACGCCAAACACAACAAACTCTAGAGACGGGAGTGAAATTACACTTAGAAAATTCAACTAATGTCCAAGGAAAGGCTACACTCCGATCGCAACCACGCTCCGTGATTGCAACGCACGCACCAATACAACACTCACAGCGGCCATTTCGTCCAGCGCCAGCTTCGAATGCTTTTGAGCCTAGCCTCCTCGATTTCTTTTGCCTGCCGGATGAACGCGAAACACCCGTCATCTATAGAGGCGCTACCTACGTAGGAATAAGAGTCTTTGTACTTGGCCTTTAGGACTAGCAATTTTAACGTTTGCTAATTTTGAAGGCTATGCCTTGTTTTGAAGGCATTGCCTGCTGAATGAGCGTGAAACACCTGTCATTTATAACGGCGTCACTTACGTAGGGTTAGTTATAAGTACATTCACGCTCAAAAGTAACGTAGAAATGTTTTAAATTTCTACGTTACTTTTGAGCGAAGCGCAGCAGCTCCCAACGAAAACGAGTCGTGCAGAGCTAGGCAAGTTTACAAGAGATATGACATTATTATTAATATAATATATGATATTAATATATTATTTTATAAAGTATTAATTTTAATATATTATAATAAATAAGTAGCAGCCCCCCCCCCCAAGTATTTTAAACAGTGCTGATGTCGAGCGTGTTTGATTGAAATTTGTGGAAACAGCCGAGAAAAACATTATGCGAGGCAGATAGAGACTTCACTTGGTGCGTGCCGTGGTAATGCCGGCCATCACTTTTTTTTTTTCGGATATGTTTTGACACCTTTTTCACCTTGTATTTTATTTTTTTTGTACGATAATGTACAGTGGGGACCCTGAAAATGATGGAGACTGTGTTAGCGAATTAATTGGACAATTTTTCAAAATCCTGACCCCCCCCCCCCCCCCAACTCGAACCGATCGGCTATACTTCAAAGTGGCCTAATGTTATTTCGTATGCATTTTCACAGTTTGTTTCAATGCAATACCCGAATTTCCGCGATCACCATCACTATTTTGACCGCCTCTCCACGGAGGATGCACGGTGAACGCCGGAGTGAGCGGACGCGCGTCGCATACGCTCCGCCGAACGTGTGCTCTCGTTGACCGGATTACTCCGATATCGTCGCCGGCACTGTGTCGGATCATCAAGTTTTAACTGTCCTGGGAACCGCACACCCTTCCCGAGGCTGTAGAGCATCTTCATTTTTCTCTATCGCCTTCAGAAGAACCAATATGAGCGCTGGACCGCTGGACCTAAGCGTCGATCCAGCTCGCCTGTGCGAGTACGGGTGACTAGGCCTAACGGCGGGACCCCTTCCACAACAATATGGACGCTATCACTACGCCAACTGCTGACGTGACTACTACCGGATGCGTTCAACCTGCATTCAGCCCCAACGACACCGATGTTAACACGGAATCTCTCGACCTTGACGAGCTCACCTCGGCAAGCGAAGATGAAGTTGCCGTGCACCATCCTACTTCCTCTGCATCGCTGGGACCGGCGAGCAACACCGACGCCAACTGGAAACTGGCGATTTCCCGTCGCCAGCATCAACGCCAGAAAAAATTCGACAAAGCTCGAGCGGAATTGATGCAGCCGGCCGGTCCGGCAAGCACTCCGCCCAGCCACGTCAACGCCGGGGCAGCTGCGGGTGCGAGCGCTCCTGCTGCGCAGGCAGACGCGGCCGGCGTCGCACCGGCGCGAACACCACCACCCGTAACGAAGCCGCGCCAGCTACGACGGAAGCTGCTGCCGCTTCCACGCACGGACATAAAGATCATCATGCGCCCGAAAAAGGGCCTGGCCATTCGGAACTTCACTACGCATCAAATCTCCCGAGCCGTAGCACTGGCGGGCAATTCTCGACAACATTGTACTGGTGATCATTTCATTACACGTACTCGCCCCGGGTCGAACATCATCATTGCCAGCACGCCACATGTTGAGACGGCCGAAATTCTTCGTCGGATCACCACCCTCACGCTTGAGAGGGAGACCTACGAATTCAATACCTATGTGGCGGCTCCTGAGGGCACCTTGCGGGGAGTTATTCATGGGATAGACCCTGGCACAACTCCGGAAGAACTCACCGCCAACCTCTGCGTGCGCACGCAGGGAGTGACAGTGCACAGTGCACGAATGCTTGGTGCTACCAAATCTGCCGTAATCACTTTTGAAGGCCCCCTTCTGCCCCGATATGTACTGTATTACGGTGGGGAGGTGGCCTGCCATCTGTACAAGCCGACGCGACAAGTCTGCCTACAACCGGGGCACCGCTCAGACGTATGCCCCACGCCAAACACTCCCGTGTGTCGGCAGTGTGGTATCCTCAACCCCGTTGACGGTCACCCCTGTGCTCCCAAATGTCACTTGTGTGGAGATGCCCACTTAACGGGCGCGAAAGAGTGCTCTCAGAGACTGATGGCCCCGCGCCCACGGCCACCTCCTCAACCAGCAGCACCAGCCAGGGGCCGCAACCCCCATCGTAACCCGCCCACTCCCAAACGCAGGTGGTTCAGCAAGGAAAACGAGACCTCATGCAGCCACTTCCGCTCACGCTCGAGGTCACAGTCCTTCCCGCCCCTCCCTTCTGTGGAACCTGGCCAACAGCAGCAGCCAAAGCAGCGACAGCATCCGAAGAACCAGATGACGAAGGGGCAGCAGCAACCCACCTGTCAACAGTCCTAGCACGCCTCCAGCAAGCATAATGAGAAGCCCAATCCCACTCCATCAGCCGGTGCCGACAATAAGGTGAGCTGGTCAGCAAATGTAGATCCTCCCATCGCTCCACTCAATACCCTGTCCACCGCATACGAACACCTTCTCGCGGAAAACATGAAACTCAAACAGGAGCTGGCGGCCGTCAGGGCACGCCAAGCAAAGGACAGTTCTCAACTTCATGCCCTAATGGCGCGTCTTGGATCGCCGCCCGACTCCCCCGAAAAAAAAACCCCAACCTCCCCCAAGAGACAGAAGACCCCTAAAACGGCGCTATCAATTCCTGCTGCGTCGGGCACCACAGTCAAGCCCAAACCACATAAGCGCGAAAATGCACGCGACAGCGACGAGCAACGCGACGTAGATCGTCTTCGCGCGATCAGTCGCTAGCGCAGGCAAACCTCATTCACGCGACGGCACGGAGGAAGGACGGCTTCGGCGAGCGAACTTCACTGTTGCTGGCATGAGGCCGTCTACTCGCACCAAGAAAACCGCGTTGCGAGTGGTGTGCAATTTAAAAATAAGATATATTGTCGTGTAATGAAACGGAAAGTGTTTATTATTGCCTTGCAGCACTTTTTTATATGCACATGCGTAATAAGCATTGCGTTATTTCTTGTTGCGCATACGTGACTCGGGCAGGGTCACGCAACGTTTATAGATATATACTTCAGTTTCGAAACTCCGCCGCCGAAGCCGGGCGCGTCTTACTGCATCGCGCTGACGAGCGCCTCCTTTTAAAACTGTTTACCAATACCGTACTGTGCCCGGCGGTGCTAAAACATTTCAATTCATCCTTTGATGGCACGTGCCAGTTCTGTGGTGAGGTGGCTGACACCTTTCACATCGTCTGGGCGTGCCAGTCTAATCCATCTATCCCCCCCAACCCCAATCCCACGAGAGAGGACTGGGAGGCGGCCCTGCTCGGCTGTCAAGACCTGAAGGCCCAAGAGGCTCTGGTTCAACGTGCGCGGGCGGCGTTGCTTGCCAATGGAGCCCCGGAATAGGGGTTCCACCTAGTGCTGTGAGGGTAGGAGGCCAATAAGGCCCCAACCCAATCACCTCTCTGTAACCATTTAATGGTTATTAAATGTTTTCACCACCACCACCACCTTACTTCTAGGGGGTGTGAGGGCGCTGCGGTCGACTTTTGCGCGGTGCCGACGGGCCGGCCGGTGCAGGCGAGCGTTTCGGTGTGCCAGTGGCCATGTTTTTCTGGGTCGTGCTGTGGGGTTGCTCGTTGTTTTCTTCTCGTTTTGTGGTTGTGAACTGTGTATGTGCTGTTAGTGAGTGACTGCCGATAGATTTGCTCGTTGTTTTCTTCTCGATTTGAGGTTGTGAACTGTGTATGTGCTGTTAGTGAGTGACTGCCGATAGATTTGCTCATTGTTTTCTTCTCGTTTTGAGGTTGTGAACTGTGTTTGTGCTGTGAGTGAGCGACTGCCGATGATATATTTGCTCGCTGTTACGAACAGTCAACAAAGTCGCCGGCGTTCAAGGCCAGCCGCTCTCCCCCAGGAAGTGCTGTCCGATTCCCCGCCGTGTCCCATGCTTCACATGTGAAATGCCATAACATTCAGCCAACATGCCGACGTGTTTTGTGCCTGGCTGCACAAGCGGATATAGGAGTAACCCTGACAAGCGGCACTTTTTTGCCCCACCGTCGGACCCCGAGCTTCTTGACAGGTGGCGAAGGGCTATTCCCCGCGCTGATAAGTTGCTCAGCAAAACATGCAAGGTGTGCGACGTTCACTTTCAGCCAGCAGACATCACGAAAACATATAAGCATATCATAAATGGTGAAGTGGTAGAGGTTGAGCGGGGTACATGGGCTCTGAAAAGTGGTGTTGTTCCGACGCAATTCCCGAACTTACCCAGCTATCTGTCTTCTGCACCGAAGAGGCGGCGGTCGCCGAAAAAGAGAGCAAGTGCTTGTCGGCGTGCAGAAACTGTGTCTTGCCATCCACCTCCCCAAGAGCCAAATGAGCTTCAGAGTGATTGCGAGAGCACTGATCTCACGTACATTATCGAGAACAGTGCCTCACTGCGGCTACCTCGGAATTGGCAGTTGTCAATTGTGGAAGATGAGCCAGAAAACAGCCGGCAAGCAGTTTTCTACGAGACAGGGATGAGCGCAGGTGTTTTCTCTATCTTGAAGAGCGTTGTGATACGAGAAGATCTTACGTACGTTATTTCAGCGAACGGAAAACTGCTGCAAGAGTCGCTTGTTGACATTCGGGTACGCTCCCAGAAAGACGTTGAAGCGATAGTGCAAATTGTGCACAGTATGAAATTCTGCCTTGGGTGCACCCGCGGGTTCGATTCCCGGCCGCTTTTCTGATGGAGGTGAAAAGCAAAAACTCCCTTATGTGCGAGATTTCGGCGCGCGTTAAAGATCTCCAGGTGGTCAAAATTAATCCGGCGCCCTCCACTACGGCGCGTCTAAACGCCGGCGT